TGCCACAGCCTGAAGCCTGCTGCCTTGCGATCCAACTCCTGCTGTGCCGTTAGCTCCTTCAGGTCAGAGGCCAAAGCCTGTGCGGCCGACCTGTGCATCTTGGCCAGGTCATGCAGCCACTGCTCTCTGTGCCTGTGCAACTCCTGCTGCCTATGGGCAAAGCGCACGGCCAGGGCCAGGCTGCCCCAAGTGCAGGCCTCCTTGGCCTCACCAGGCAAGTTGGTATCCTCTAGGATGGCCCTGAGCTTGTCTTCCACCTCATCCCAAGACAAAGCTGTATTCTCCAAGTAGAACTCGGGGCCATTCGCATGCCTGGCCATTTTCTCACTGATAAAGGCCACCACCTTGCTATTATGGAACCCACCACAGGGGTCTCCGGGTTTCAGGGACATGATGGCGGTAGACCTTTGTGAATTTGCTGGCCCTACTGAGATAAATCACCAAGTTGTCAGAACCCACATTCCCCACATCTCCTATCCCCTTGCTTTCCCCCTCAGATCCCAACCCTAATGACCCCAGCCTAGTTAAGCCCCACCCACTCTAAGACACCTCTCACCAGGCCTCACTTCTCCAGCTAGGGGCCTGAAGTACAGGCCGACCATGCTCACCTATCAGGCCCAAAAAGGGAACACGATTGTGCTCCCTCTCTAGGTCGCCAAGAAAGGGCGACTTGCGGCTGACGCCAGAGATTTATACTTCAGGACGGTTCCAACTTTCAAAGACTTGGGGGTGGTGGGAGAGAGTATATGAGGAAGGCCTCTCTCTTTCTCTCCCAAGGATATAAGGGTACTTGCCACAAAGGTGAAAGTCCTTAAAGTTGGGAAGAAACAGTAGTGGTCAAGACAGACTCAGAAACAATCAAATGAAGCCCTCACAATAGAGTAAAAAAAGTACCCCCCCCATAATGGTTTGTCCCATGGGGGTGGGGGAAGCCCCCCTTCTGAAGATGGAGTGTTCTAAGTGCGCGAACCACTCAGTGGCCTTTGGCGCCCACCCAACCCGCTCATCTCCCCCACACCTAACCCCCACTCTTCTTCCTTATTCCTCTCCACTCCTCCCCCACACTCCTTCTCCTTTCTCTGCACTGGCACTGTCCTTGTACCCCCC